ATTAAAAAAAAAAATCAAGACTTACTTTGATAAATACTAGGTTATATGTGCTTGTTCCCTCTTTGGTTATGATGTTGTATCTTCTCACTTTACAATGGGCACAAACTCCACTTTTCCTTTCCTCCCATGTATGTGTCTACCGCCTGTTTTCCAGAAAGTTCACAGAAGTGAACAAAGGGAGGATAGGAGAAGAGTACAGAAGGAGCTTAGAATTAGTGAAGGTTTTGCAGTTCCTCCTTACTTTCACCAAGCACTGGGGAAAATGTCATTTCTTAATCCCAGAATCCTTCTTTCTTTGCCTCTCCTAGACAAGCTCCCACCTCTTAGATAGTAACCTTAGAAGTGGTTTACATTATTTTCTTGACTCACTAGCTGTCCCTCTCTTAATGTATGTCCACGGAAAACCCTTTCACCCTTCATTCTCTGGCAATAGGATCCCTATAGAGTCCCCGGGTGGGACAGATGGTTAACGTGCTTGCCTGCTGACTGAAAGATGGGAGAACTGAGTCCACTCAGAAGTGCCTTGGAAGAAACAGTTCCAAACAAATCTAATCCTAACAAATCAGCCATTGAAAACCCTATGGAGCGCAGTTCTACGTAGACACGTAAGGGGTTGCCGTGAATCAGAATTGACTAAAAAGTAACTGTGTGTGTATGTAAATCCTAATAAAATAATCAAAGAGCATTTTTTTCTAGTAGTTTCTCTCCATACCCAAGTGTGGCATGTACAACCCATTTTTGATTCCACTAGAAGTTTGAATAGTCAACTTTTTACTTTCCTTGCCCTTGTGAATGAAAACTGAGAATCATTTCTAACAAATATTTCAGGTAATTGAATTCAAATTTGCTGAATGAAATAAAAATATATACAAAATTTATTAAATTGTACTATTTTAACCTGCGTATTCCTGAGTATTCATAATTATAGGTGGTTATTTTTAAAATCTTGGCTGGAAATACAAAGACTATTGATCAAGCAACACTGGTATGATTTACTATTTATGGGTTGCAGATTCAGTTTCAAATGTAGCTCCATTGTTCTCATCTTTAAAACATACACTTTTACTCATTTATCTTTCTACAAAGCTCATTCTCTAGCATCTTTGCTGTCCCTTAAAATGCAGGATCCATTCTGGGAAGGACACACGATGCTGCCCTACATGCCCACTTTCTGATATCAATTATTTTGCCAATTATGTGGATGTCACAGAATCATGGACAAGAGCCACAGTTACCCAAAACAGCAGCCAACCAGAAGACCCACACACAGAGGTTGTCGTAGCAAAGTCTACAGCAGTGGTTTTCGCTTCTAAAATAATTTGTTCTCACTGGAGGAGGACTTTCCCAGGTAACCATTAGTGTTCAGCACACTGTTGCTTGTTTTTTAAGCTGCAACCGACTGATGCAAATGTATCCCTAAAGCTCATCCAGAAAACCAAGTTCCAGATGGAGATGTGTGTGATGATATCAGTCAGGTGAGGAAGTTTTCTCTTTGAGTCAATAGTGCCATTTAATACTGAAAGACATTTTCTTTGAAAATGTATCCCTTATGTCAGTAAAGTCCAAAAAGCATATCCAAAACCATGCCATAAGGAAGAGTTTAAAAATTTTGTTGAAAAGTAAGATTATTTAAATTCAAACTATTAACAATATCTGTTGATGTGAAGATTCCTATACATAGCAGGTAGTTACCAGAAACGTTTGCTAAAATAGTCACATATAAATGTCATGAGGTAAAATTTTACAACTCTTTTACCCACTGCCATCCAGTTGACTCCACCTCACAAGGACCCCTTACAGGGTTTCCAAGGCTGTAAATGTTTACAGAAGCAGTCTCCCTAGTTTTTCTCCTTTGGAACTACTTGTGGGTTTGAACCATCAACCTTTTGGTTAACGTCTGAATCCTGGTATTTTTCACTTTTGTTTGGGTCTTTATGGAATCAAGGATTTTAACCTCAAGCTGCTCCATGATAAGTAATTATTTTGGTTCACGTTAGAGATTTCTGAATTCCCAGTGAAAAGAGTGTGCATTGCTAACACCTCATCCCTCATTAAAATAATACACATCCAAGGAATCTTATACTTCTGATGAGTGGAAACAGCCACAGATTATATCAGATCTTCCAGAACCTTCCTAGTTTCCACATTGTGCCTTGTACTAGGCCAAGTAGCTATGCTGGTCCCAAAGATCCCAGGTCTGGCCTCGGTGTGTCCTATTGATGGGACACTCTAGTGGGCACTGATGCCAGCCCCAAACAGCTCCAATCAGCCTTCATATTTCCTGACTTCCATACTTTATGTTATTACATTTTGATGTAGCTATAAAGGTGTCAACTAAATACAATAAATTACTCTTTCATCTGTGTCCCCATACTATTTTACCCTTTGATATTATCATAGTGAATTATTGATAATGTTGTGTGTCTGCCTCTGTAGACTCTAAGACCATGATGGTTGGAAAGAATGATCTATCAATACTCTTATCACCAGCATCCAGAACAGTGACTGACACAGAGTGTAATTTAACTAAATGCTTATCCTGTTCCCTTGAATAAAACTGAAACAGCTGCTTGGATAAACAAACTGGGTTCCATAATAAGAGCTAATTCTACTTTGACAAGTAGAAATCTGCAAAGAGATTTCCACAGATTTATCAAGTGTACACATATCAGGGGCAAATACACCCCAAAAATGGTTTATGAATCTATAAAATAGAAAATTATAATCAATGACTGTAGCATTTAACTTTAGATATTGGTATGTCAAGTTGTGAAATATTAAAGCAATTTAATCCTGTGTTTATAATAAACTCCAAGAAGTACAGAAGTAACTGAATGGGATTAAACTGTATGGGGTGGAAAGTGGATATGGGATTCCATGTTTATACCATTGACTTCTAGAGCTCAAAGGAGCACAAACTACCTATATAACTTAAACAATACGAACCTTCAAACTAACTTTCCTAACAATTAAAGGAATTGAGAGAAAAAATAATATGGTACATTAAGATACTATCAATAATTTCACTCAAAGAAAATAGAAAATGACATATAAATTTTAAAGCATATTGATACTAAAACATGCACATTGCAACTACAAAACTGTCATTAAGATCATATTTGAGAATCTGAAACCTAGTTATCAAAAAAAAAAAAAATCTATCTATAATAGTAACTATGTCTATTGCCTGGAATATAAAACCATTCTAAAACAGCACAGATTTCCCAAAGTCAAATTTTGAATTTTATTGTGGTCTTAAATTTTATGTTATAGCATATAAAAGCTATTTGCAAAATGATACATTTAATTAACTCAAAAATAATTGTTCTGAGACTAACTAAAAATAAACTAGAGAACAGTAAGCTTCAGCTAAATTTAAATGTTTGTGAAGATATTTACCATAGCTACAGACTAAGTGTTTATTGTGTAATTGCCCAAGTTAAAGAGGAAATTTACTTATTGAAACTAAGATCCATTTCTTGGAAAACACTGAAACAAAACTGTGGCAAGAAACCAAAAACATAGCACTCTGTCCTATACTTCATGTTTTTCTCCCTTTCACAAAATACTGAAACTGTCAGAAAATTTGTCATAATCTAACATTTGTCATAATCTAACACTTTCAGGCAAAATTTGTCACACTCTACTTTCAAACACATGAGCAGCATTATTTTATATCACAATGGGAAAAAGAATGAGCTCTCAGATATTAGATAGCAAATGGAAACACAGTCATGTGTTGCTTAACATCCATGATAGGTTCTGTGAAATAGGACATTATCAGATCTGACGTTAGGCGAACATGCCTACGTTGCAAGCAATAGGATTCACAGATTTTCCACCTGCATGTTGTTTAATAACATTTATCTCACTTCCAAATCAATCTTCTTTGTCTCTTGCTGGTGTTGTCACTCACACTGGTTTGGTTGTGTTTGGAAGCCATGATGCACTTCATTGTGTGTTTTTGAAAGAAAATCAAGCAGAGAGATAAAATGCTACAACACTCAAGGGATACACAATACACAGCCTGGATGCTGCTGCCTAGGAGATGAAACATACTACTCTATGGTAAACTTTTCAGATAGTTCAGTACAATACATATGTTGGTGTTTATTTTGACTCTTGCGACATATGTATTATAGGTGATACATGCACTGTAACATTAAGCAGCCATACCTTATTTCATTGTGCTTTGCAGATAGTGAATTTTTTTTCACAAATTGAAAGTTTGTGGCAGCTCTGAATCCTGCAACTTATTTGGTGCCATTTTCCCAGTAGCATGTGCTCACTTTGTGTGTCTGTGTCACATTTTGGTAATTCTTACAATATTTCAAACTGCTTCATAGTGCTATTGCACACTTAGGAGACTACAGAATAGTGCATACATAACTTTTATATACACTGCTTAAAAAAAAAAGTGCTGTGGAGTCGATTTTGACTCACATCGACCCCTCCTTGGGTTTCCAAGGCAGTATCTCTACAGAAGTAGATTGCCCAGTCTTCCTTCCAAGGAGTGGCTGATTAGTTTGAACTTCCAGCATTCTGGTTAGCAGTCAAATGCTATAGGCACTATGCCACCAGAGTTCCCTTTATATGAACTGGGAAATGAAAAAAAAAAAATTGTGTGACTCACTTTATTTTAATATTCAGTTCATTGTGGTGGTCTCCAACGGAACCCACAATATCTCAAGGCGTGCCCATGTACCAGCACAATCACATTGTTACAGGAGACATGAGACACACTCAGAAGCTGTTATTTTTACTACATGCATTTATGTCTGCTATGTCTCATTCTCCAGCCAGGATTTCTGAACTCTTTTATAACCTTATAGAACCATGGATGTACATGCGTTCAGGTATTGCCTGGATGGACATCATAAGGAGCATGACTACATTTGGATTGGGTTGTCTGCAAAAGTTAGGACAGCCCAGTGGCAGCCTGGGCATCAGGCAGAGAAGATGAGGCTAAAAGAACATATGCTTGAAAGGGAAATCCATACCTTGTTTTTTCCCTGCAGTTCAATTTGTGGCATCTTGAAATCAGGACCTTGAGAGTTTGCACTGAATTTATTTCTTCTGTCCAACAGCTCCTCCAATTCTCTCAGCTGTACCTTTAGCCTTCTATTTTCTCTCTCCAGTCCTTGTTTGTCTGTCTCAAGTATTTCCCTCTGGTCCCACTCCAAGGTATGCTCAGCCTGCAATCTCTCTAGCTACACACAGAAAGCACAAAGAAGCAGCATGTGACATCGGTAACTACCAAAAGCAAAGGCACCCAGTGCGCAAGCCCACATTGAGGAAGGCTCACAAATAGGCCACCTCTATTTTGTAAAGATAAACTATTCGTTTGGAAAATTAAGGACAACACAAGAGTCCTAAACTCAGGCCATACCTTAGGTAAACACACATTTCCTCTTAGTTGGTATGTAATTATCTCCACAATTGCACTGACAATGTGAAATAAGTGGGGTCTGTGAAACATTGCTGACACATTTGCCTACAATCTCCACTCAGTTGATGAACACTTATCAGTAGAGAAGGCACAAAACACTGTCTTGGGCAGTTTTGACTGAATATAGTTAATTTATTTTCTCATCCATTTATCTGGTTATCTGGGTGTATAGATAGAGGAGTTGGTAGGCAGGCAGGAAGACAGACAGACAGAGACTTGATGCTAGGTAGACACTAAGGATAAACATAAACGAATACAACAAAATAGTGTAAATGCTGCAATTATGGTTCTACACATGAAGAGAAACTCATGTGAGTGGCTAATTTGCTTTTCAGAGAATAAGGGTTGTATTTTTTATCTTTCTTATATGTCCTGCAGACTAAGAATGGTATCATATTTTCAAATGTTAGGAAAAAAAATAAAATCAATAATATTTTATGACACATGGGCATCATACAAAATTAACATTTCAGTGCCCACAAGTAACACCTCACTGGAACACAGTCATGCTCGCCTCTTTCAGATTTGTCTGCCTGTTTTCACACTACAATGGCAGAGTTGAGCCCTTGAGATAAATCCATACAGCCAAGAGCTGAAAATATTTACTCTGGCCCCCCACAGAAAAAGTATGCTAACCTCTGCCCTAGACTTACAGTTCTTAACCAAGGCTTCATGTCAGATTCATTTGGGGAGGTTTTTATAATTACCAGTGATCAAAACCCAGCTGTAAAAATAAAACAAACTCACTACTGTTAAGTCGATTCCGACTCATAGCTACCCCTCCTTGGGTTTCTGAAGCGGTATCTTTACAGAAGTAAATTGCCCAGTCTTCTTTCCACGGAGTGGCTGGTGTGTTTGAACCGCCAGCCTTCTGGTTAGCAGTTGAATGCCTTAGGCACTACACAACCCACCTGTAGAAGTTCTAATTTAATTGGTTTAGAAACATTTTAGTATTTCCTTCAATCAGTTTTTTATTATTTCAATTTTTATATTTAGGTTTTAAAGAGGTGATATCAAATGTATTAGGGAGCTCTGGTAGCATAGTGCCTAAGGCACTTGATTGCTAACCAGAGGGCTGGCAGTTCAAACCCACCAGCCACTCCTCGGAAGGAAGATGGGGCAATCTACTTCAGTGGTGATATTGCCTCAGAAACCCAAGGAGGGATCGCTGTGAGTTGGGTCTGACTTGACAGCACATAACAACAACAATAAATCAATTGTATTTATTTTCCATTTTAATTTTGTTCAGATATTTCTTCACATTTATATTGCAGTTGAGTTGGACTTGTATTTTATGTTTTTTGTTTGTTCTGTTGGTTTTTTATTTTTTATTTTTATCTGGACATTAATCATAGAATGATCATTAACTTTTTGGCTCTGAATTCTAGTCCTGAGCTGAGAATTCCAGTCCTGGCCTCACCATTTATTTTCTTGATATACGTAAATAACCTCATCTCCTCTATGTGGACAATTTATTTTCTAATCTGACAAAGTTGGTGAAAAGTAAAATTAATCAAAGTGATTGGAAAGCATTTTGCATAAGCCATGCTCCTAGAGAAGAAACATGGAGGTGATATTATATCAGGAAAAGAATTCTGTGTGGATATCTCCTATCTATTTGGCCATATGTATATCCAGATGTCGAGGTAACTCGTGACATAAAACTGTAGATGGAACGAAGCAGTTACTAATAATGAAAAGCCACTGTGTTCTAACACTGGTTCTGCCCCTTTGCTCATTGGCTGACTCTGGACAAGCCAAATATTGTCGTTGTTTCCTCTGCAATCAAATAAAGATAGCAAGCCCCAAAGAATTTGTGGAGTTACTGTAAGGAACGAATAAGATCAATTATTCAGCATGCTTCCTAATCCATGTAAAATGGCTGAAACATAAGGAATTTTACAAGTATCTGTTCAGGATAAATATTGGAAATTATCTATTTTTTTCAATATTAATTTTAAATGGCATCATCACAAAGTATTGCATTGCTATTGTGGTGTGACCTTGAATTGATTCCAACTCATAGTGACCCTACTGTATAGCTATCATATTATGATGAAATATTGTTTCATGCCATTTTAAATTCTAAGATAAAAATCATTGTAGTCAACATAAAGAAAAGTTAGAGGGCACTAATAGCTTTGGAAATGAATTTTGATATGAAAATCTAAAAACTGCTTTTCCATACACATGTAATCACCCCATTATTACAGGAAATGTTCTGTTCCCAAATTTGAGATACGTCAGCTTCTAAAAAACAGGAGACCAGAATTGTATTCTTGGCATAAGGCCTCACTTATCAATTAAATATAATGAATTTTAATGGATCAAATTTTAGACGATGTGGTTTGACATTTGGGGTGCCTGTTTGGGAATATGAGGTGAAGACAGTATTTCACAATGAAATTTAGATCATGACATGACTCTAATTAGTAAGATGGATGCTTAAACTTTGTGTCTCTTATTGCATCACTTATCAGACTGAATTTAATAAAGGTGCAACAAAAACTCAGCAAGTTAGTGATAAAAATTAATTTTAAGAGAATAAATACGTTTTTGGCCAACAACAGTTTTTTTTAAATTGTAGGCATTAAAAAGAAATTGTTGAAATTAAATAGATTGATTTTATACCTAACATCAGACAACAGGTTCTATGTACAGATACTACATGGGCATCATTAAATATTCTGGAATTCCTGTTCTTTACAATGTTATCCATAAGTTATTACAGATTCACACATTTGGATGACTTTGCATAGTAACTAAAACAGGGCTAAACATCTTTCCAGTACTCTCTGCTTTCAGTCAGGACTCATCTGCCATCAGAGTGATATCCCCACATCTTCTGAATCTAGATAATGCATGGTTTCAAATCAGGAAAGGTGGGTGCCAGGATTATATCCTTTCATGTTATTTATTCAGTCCATATGCTGAGCAAATAATCTGACAAGCTGGACTCTCTGAAGAAGAATGTGGCATCAGGATTACAGGAAGATTAACAACTTGCAATATGCAGATAACACAATCATCCTTACTGGAAGTAAAGAGGTCTTGAAGCACTTACTGGTGAAGATCAAAGACTACAATTTTCCACATAGATTAACACCTCAGCTTCAAGAAAACAAAAATCCTCCCAA